AAGAGACACCTTAGCAGATGGTCTGACCAGAGCACCAGAAGGGTATCACATGATTCACGGTGTCACATGATTCATCGTGTATTCTCTTTCCTTCTTTTTCAGGTCATCCCCAAGAGGTTAATCTCTTAGCCTTCTTTTCCTTCTATCTGTCTTCTGTAGGGGAATGGTGAAAGTGCATGGGGCAGAGATCCCTAGGCATCTGGGGGGACTGATTTTAATCACTTACTTGAAGTTAAGTGCTGTCCCTCATATCTTATGTCTCCAAGTCCAAACAGAGCAAAATAGTAGCAATCCAATATAATCCTCCCAAGAGTCTGTATTTGGAAGAGACTATTTCCAAACTAACTATATTCTTATGGTTCTGTCTCCTCCTATCACAGTTCTTAGGTACCTTTTTCCTCCTCCCACCAAATCTTAATAACAACTGAATCATGCTAATCATACATACTTCTATTTTCCCACTCTTTCTCCTCATAGTTCATCTCAAATCATTTCTAGGATGCAGGTCTCTTAAGATCCCATCTCAAAGCCGTCTAATGGTTGCCTGTCACCCCTTGCAGCCAGTCTAAAATGGTCTCACCTCTTCTCTAACACCCTCTCTCTTATGTTTCCTCACATTCCCTTTTCCTTCTGCTTCTCCCTTTCCAAGCTCTTCCCCCAGTTCACACAATCTCAATTACAAGCCCCCTTGCCCAGGGCTCTATTTCTGAAGCACCCCACTTTAATTCATCGAAGATCTCCTGGCTTCTCCATAAAGGCTTCTCAGCTTTTGCCATAGACTAGATGAACCACAAGGAGTAGATAAATACTACTCAGATATATGTGTATATAAGCATAGAGTTTAAATATAATTTAACTTCTTTGATTTATGTGTAATCTATGTCTCTAGGACAGATCTAAATCTTGACATCTTAAAAGCTCTATTTGCATAAATGTAGGACAGATCATTTTAAAGATTCTTTTCCCTCACAGTACCTCTGGTAGCTCATAGGAGCTATCCTGTGTGTGCTCACAAATCAATCTAGCCTCTTGTTACTCAAAGTGTGATCTGAGGACCTGCAGCATGGAGATCACCTGGGAGCTTGTAGGATATGCAGACTCTCAGTCCCCACCCAAACCTCCTGATTCAGTCTTCATTTTAACAAGAGCCCAGGTGATTCCTAGGCCATTGGTCTGGCTCATTGCTCATGAGGCTCCCACGGGTTCCAGGCTAGGCCACTGCTTGGCACCAATGCCCTCTACCGCCACCCCAGTGAGCCTCTGATCCTGCTACTGTTCTAGTAACTGTTAGCCTTGGTGGGGGGGGGGGGGTTAAGGGGTGCAGGAAATCAAACTCCTACTTGGTCAGTGGTCCAAAATGCAACCATTAGGGCCCAGAATGCTGATTTAAACTTTCTCCTCCAAAGCAAGTAGGGGAAAGTTCCTTGCTATGTTTTCTCCTGGAAGGGTCCCACAGTAGGGTGGCCTGAACACCAGAGTGCTTCAGTTTAGGAAAATAGCTTTTTTGGTTATATTCATACAGCCTTTCTTCCTGTGCTGCAGACACACCACCACGGGGCTGTAATGACGAATCCACTTAAAAGCCACCATGCTGTACCTACAACCACTTCCCTCTCTGGTTCTTGATCCTGTTGCTGAGTTTGACCAGACCCTCCTTTCCCTTGGGGTGAAGTCTCTCCATGGGGCTCAGCTCTGTACAACCATTCCTCCCCCTTCAAACTTGTTACACATGGTGTGCTATGTCTAACTTCAATGATAGACAAAGATCAAGGTCTTTTTCAAGGACTTTCTCAGCAGTCCTGGCATAAATCACATGGTGAGAAGGGGAGAGGGAGAAGGCAGGTAAGGTATCATCTACTCTCTCACATGACAGACATACCTCACTTTCAGTTCCTCAATTCCCAAGATTAAAAAGAACCTATCACGCATATATGTTGTCAGAGTAATTTTTTTTAGAGGCAGGGAATCGGGACCATGTCTAATGTATTGTATGTGTGCTAGTAAAGAGCCAAACAGTAGAAATATCTGTCAGTTGGGCACCAGCCTGCCACCCTATTTCTTCCTCTGGTTTTAGCATGCCTCTGTTCAATAAATATGTTTACCAGAGGGCAAAAAAGAAAAGAGTCACGTTCACTCAGTCATTCAACTCAGGAGAGTCATAAACTCTAGCTACTCAGATTCTAGTAATTAAGGATCCTTCATTCAAAATTATGGCTCAGGTTAAAATGGAATTTAATTTAGCAAAAATTTCCTGTACATTTTTGTGAGAAACTGATACAAATCTCCAGTGCCTTTAAACATATATATATAAAGCACAAAACTAGGTGTCTTAGTTATCTCATGCTGATATAACAGAAATCCCTCAAGTGGATGGCTTTAACAAAGAGAAATTTATTCTCTCACCGTATAGGAGGCTAGAAGTCCGAACTCAGGATGTCAGCTCCAGGGGAAGGCTTTCTCTCTCTGTTGGCTCTGGGGGAAGGTCCTTGTCGTTAATCTTCCCCTGGTCTAGGAGCTTCTCAGGTGCAGGCACCCAGGGTCCAAAGGCTGTGCTCTGCTCCTGGCACTGCTTTCCTGATGGTATGAGGTCCCTCTGTCTCTCTACTAGCTTCTCTCTTTTATATCTCAAAAGAGATTGACTTAAAACCTAATCTTATAGATGAGTCCTGCCTCATTCACATAACTGCCTCTAATCCTGCCTCATTAACATCATAGAGGTAGGATTTACAACAATAGGGTAATCACATCAGATGACAAAATGGTGGACAATCACACAATACAGGGAATCATGGCCTAGCCAAGGTGACACACATTTTGGGGGGACACAATTCAATCTACATCACTAGGTAAACCACAAAGCTTTTTTATCTACATCATCATTTACAGCAGAAAAATCTACCATGGTAGTAAGGTAGTTATGTTTCTGCCCTTTGATAGAAACACAGTTACAAACCTAACACAAGTTTTTTAAAGTCAATGCTCTAAATCCAGAAGTGCCCCTGATGGATCCTCAGCTGAAACGTTGCTATAGGAACTAAGAGGGACTCAGGAGGGGTCTCTCCAGCTTCCTGAAGGAAGATGCCTCCGTGGACATAGTGGCTACTGAGAAAGTACTTTAAGAACTCAGTAAACATTTACTGAGTACAAAGATGAGTTATTCATGGTCCCTGCCCTCATTTATAGTCTAAAGGGAAAGTGAGATTCTAAAGAGATAAGTTCAATATAATTTGTTCAATGCTATGATGGAGGTTGTACACACTGTCCTGTGTTGTTAAGATAAAGATATAAAACACAAATCTGAAGAGAAGAGGGAACCACCTGAGACAAGAAAAGCTGTATTCCACTTGGTATGAGTGAATTTACTACCAGTTACTCTCTGAGAGGTACGGCTCAATAGATCCCTTTCCTGTAATAGTACCCCCACCCCTTTCCTTTGGGAATCATTCCTTCCCAGTCTGTGTGGTCTGGAGAGGCTGCCCTCCTCAGTTCTGCAGTCTGATTCTAGTCACAAAACCCCAAACCAAACCTGTTGCTGTTGAGTTGACTCTGACTCATGGCAACCTCATGTGTTACAGAGTAGAACCGCTCCATAGGATTTTCTTGGCTGTAATCTGGTGGTACAGTAGTTAAGAACTCGGCTGCTAACCAAAAACTCTGCAGTTTGAATCTACCAGCCGCTCCTTGGAAACCTTATGGGGGCAGTTCTACTCTGTCCCATATGGTCACTATGTTCCAGTTGACTCATTGGCAATGGGTTTTTCTTTTTTATTTTTTGCAATCTTTATGAAAGCAGATTGCCAGGTCATTTTTCATGGCACCACTGGGTGGGTTCAAACTGCCAACCTTTAGGTTAACAGCCAAGCACTTACCCATTTGTGCCACCTATGGACTATTACTCCAGCCACAGAGATGAGCAAATCTGGAACCTGATAATATTCTACTCTCTCAGTGACCCCAGGGATTGGCCCCATGGATAGTTGCATTACCTAAGCTGAGCCAGTAAGAATCTTTGCCTGGACTTTATATGTAGATGCTACATTCTTCTAGAATTTACTTTCTCCTAGAACTGCTCCATAGATTGATATAAGCCTAGAGTTGTCTGTGGCCATGCTTTCTACTTTGCATTTCTCCCTTCCTAACCCCTTCTGTCCCTCCAAACCTCACCATATAGGGAGGCTCATCTGCAGGATAGAATAAAGCCAACACAAGAAGAGTTGAGAGAGAGAGATGCCCTGCCCAAAGGTGCTCAGCTCAGGAGTGAGTGGGAGCCAAAATCCAGCCTGCATTCTGCTCATGCTGGTGAAGTACAACCCTCAACCAGAGGGAGGGGACCCCTTTTTCTTCAGACATATGCTCTGTCAGCTCACCAAGCCTTCTTCTAATTCACACAAAGGTGTTGCATGTGGTAGAGACATGTGACAAGAACAAGGAAGCCCCAGGAGTCACTCATATCCTTTCCAATTACAGCCACCAACATATTCTTTTTTTCACCTACACTTGCTTCAGTTGGCTTTTTGTCACTTGCAACCAAAGAAATTCTGACAAATACAGCAGACCAGACACCCAGGTTGCTTCAGATGAATCCTTGCATTTGTTTTACGCTTAAACTTCCTGTTAGCCATTGCCTTTGGACTCTTTCTTTCAATCTGCAAGTCCTTACGGTTCACTAGCCAGGCAAGGCGTAACTATTAGCTCTCCTTTTCTTTCTTAGAGTCTGAGATAGCTTCTACGCAGAGATAATACACTAATGAGATCAAGTTCAACCCAATAAAGCTGCTACTGGTTTCTTCATGAAAATGATTATTTATGAAATCATTCCCAACGTGTTTGGTAAATTGCTCTGCTGTCAATCCTGGAAGCAGAGGTGTGTAAAAACACTGACTGTTCTTGCCCAATATTAAAAAGGATCATGGCTAATTTTTCCTCACAAATTCTGGTTTCTATTTTGTTTCATTAGCTTTAAATTCCCTCCTGCAGAAAATAAGGGACTGATCACTCACCCTCTTTGGTATCTGTCCAGCTTATGGAGCACTGTGTGGTCACAGTACTCGAACACCAAGTGAAGCTTCCGTTTCCTCCTGAAGACCTCAAGGAGGTTGACAAGGTTAGGGTGCTTGAGTTGCTGAAAACACAAAAAGCAAGGTGCTAACTTTGAGTTGTAGAAGATCTACTTCCTCTAGTTTTGGTCCAGTGAAAACAAAGCTATTTGCTCTTTAGGAAGTTTAATTTCTTGGATTGAAGGGGGCTGTAAATGGTGTTATTTCACCTCTCTTTACAAACTGTTTTTACTAGCTTGTAAGTGAAAAATGATTATTTATAATCCAGGTGGTTGGTGAAGGCAAAGAGAGATATGAGAAGGCTGGGAAAGAAAAGAGAATAAAAAGGGTGGGTATTTTTAGTGAACACAAACTCATACTTCAAGGCTCAGATCAAATGTCCCTTCCTAAGGAGGTCACCCCTCAGTGGCATTAGGGTTGGTGTTACCCAGTGCGGTAGCTCATGGTGTCACCCTCTCCCATGGACCTCCTCCTGTACCAGACCATACAGAATCCTTAGTAATGTTTTTGTACTAATGTTACTTGTAAATCATAATTCCTGTATATCACTCCTTTTCCTTTAATTACTACTTCATTTTCAGAAAAGTGATTGATATAGGTTCACAAATACTAATTACCACAATACTGTAGCTAAATCACCAGAAATTTTGACAATATCAGCAACTATTAAAACACCAGCAACAATGAAAACAACAGCACGTGGTTGTAGCCTGTGCAGACGAAACCACATGATTGAAAGCATCATTGTTATTGGGTAATAAAGACAGCTCTGACCAGATGGCATTGGAAAGTACAAAAGTAAATTAGCATAGAGTTTTAGCCTTGTAGGTATATTGATATATGTAAGCTGGGCTTAACAAAAATGTTTTTGTTGCTATAACTATAGGAATATTTTTATAGACAGTCATTTTGGTGTCACCCCTCTGACAGTGTCACCCAGTGTGATCCACACCCCCGCATCCCCCTAGTGATGCCACTGTCGCCCCTGACCTCCCAGACTGATTCAGTGCCCGTTAATGCTCTCATTGCCCCCTGTATGTCTCCTTCAGAGCATCTATCACAATTCTTATTTAGTAGTCACTTGCCAATTGTTTAATATCTTTCACCTTCAATAGACTGTAAGAACCACAATGTCAGGGTCTGTGCTTTCTTGTTTACTCAAAATTATGTTGCTGTATCCGCAGCACAGGGCCTTATATATAACAGCCATTCAATAGATGTTTGTGAATGAATGAGTAAATCATGTTTCATAGGTTGATGAAACATTTTAAAATGGGAAAATGAAGGCTCTGCAATCTAATGTGCCTGAGGCGTGTGTCTAGAAAAAAGAGGCAGGAAGATATGTTGGCTTTGGCAAAGATAAATATTGTACACAGCTTCCTGGGCCCTCTGCACTTACTCTTATCAGAAATACTACAGCCAGGCACTGATCTCCTTTTCTGCAAAAGAAAGTATGAACTTTGTACTTAGGAAGACAAAAATCCACAGGAAAACACATCAATCATGGGTTCCCTTTCTGCAGTTTTCATTCTTGTTTCACTGATCAAACAGATCACCATTGGTATCTGCTTTATTTATCATTGCACTGTTTTTTAAATAATTTATTTTATTCATTTTTTGTTGAAAATATACACATTAGAATATACACTGATTCAACAATTTCTACATGTACAATTCAATAACATTGATTATACTCTTCATATTTGTAAAAATGGTATGTGGTCAGACCTCATCTAACTTCAGGAGGAGGAGAGAGAATTAGCATCATCAGCATCAGCCCAAAGCTGATCCCTATGAGGTAGAGGTCAGGCATACCTCCACTCTCCTATTTTTTAACAATTCTGACACCAGCTGTCCCTCCCATGTACCCTCCACTTCTCTGCTGGGTTTGATAATTCCTCTCTGCTGGGTTTGATAATTCATTGCAATCGCCACACAGAACTCATAGACCATACTCACCATTATGGGGTTTATTAGGTAAGTAACAGGTTACAATTAATGATCATCTTAGAGGTAACAGGAACAACTCAGGATACAGTTCTTCGATCAGGACAGCTTCTTCTCAGCTGTGCCCACAGGCAAGCCTTTCTCTTGGCCCTTAGCCCTTGGCCTGGCCTCTGCCCTGCTTGGCAAGTGTTAAAAGCTCTTCAGCGCCACCAATAAGTGCCCAGAGGCATCCCACTCTGCCAGCAAGCCTCCTGCCTGAAGGCTATCAGCTCTCTTGCTCCATGAGCTGGGATTCTCACTGTAGCCACCTCGCTCTGTGGGTCAGGAAGCCCACTACACCATCTTGTGATGGTCTCCTGGTTCCTGCCATCTCGTGCTGCTGCTACCTACAGTGTTATTTTTCTCTTTCCTGTGTATAGGAGGTCCTCAGTGCAGAGACCCTGGGTCCAAAGGACACACTCCACTCCTGGCTCTTCTTCTTGATGGTAGTGAGCTCCCCGCTCCAGCCTCTGGGATTGGCTCCCTTTAAGCCTAGTGGGATGGCAAAACTGACGAATCCCCTACAAGGGTTCCATACACCTTATCTGCATGGTCCCCCCCCCTCCCCCCCAACAAGGGTTCCATGCACCTTATAAGCACTAGTAAAAACTGTCCAATCCCCTTAGTGGGCCAAAAGAAACTTATTTGCATAGTTCCACCCCATCATTTTGTGGGAGTTATAAGACCATGGCTAGAAGGGTCATATAAAGTAATTCACTGCACTACAACATCGTCGCACTATTTTAACAGTTGATATATTGCTCCTCTTTTTCCAAATATTTTTTGATAGTTCCACCAGATAACTTTCCATAAGAATTTTACAATCAAGTACTGCTTTACAATATTAACTTTTTCCATCAACAAACAACATTGCCTTCCCATATTAAAAATTTTAGTAAAAGAAAGTACTTTTAACTCATAGAAGCCAGTTCAGATGAAAATATTCCTCGACAACTGTGAACAATTTTTCCATGTGGAAAAATAGAGACTGCTAGGTTTAAGCAGTAGTACAAAGCACATGAACTCTCTCATTTCACCAGAGGGCCACTCACAGGGTAGAGCTTGCTGTACTCTCCCAATGTCTCTCTCTTCCTCTTAGTAATGGAATCCCGTGGTTAGCTGTCACACAGCCCACCAGAATAAAGACCACATTTCCCACCTTCCCTCCAGCTAGCTGTAGCCTTGTGATTAAGTGTCCACCGTGGGAATTTAAATGGAGGTGTTATACACAACTACAGGAAGTGTTCTCAGAGAAAAGAGATACATCTTTTTCTTCCTTCTTCTTGATGGCTGGAATGCAGATGTAAGCAGCAATTCTGGAACAAGAGGAAGAAACCATGTCCTGGGGATGGTGGAGCATCAAGAGGGAGGAGCTGGGGCCTGGCACTGGGAAGGCTCCTAACTAACCAGCCTTGTACCACTACCTCCACAGTTTTCTTGCTGATGCCATTATTATTTTCACTTTTCTTTCATGTGAAGCCAAACTGGTAACTGATACATCCTGACTGGGAAGAGGCAAAAATGGTTAACTTGGGAGTGTTCACAGACTTCCTTCATCCCTCAGCCTGCCAAAGAGAATCCCATCATTGCCAGCCCAATTTCCCCTCGCTCCTTCTCCTAAAAAGAAAGAATTCTTTTTTGCTGGTTAGAGACTGAGTCAATACACTTAATAAAATCCTGAAGGCGTTGATGTGGAGGGGAAAGAAGGAGGAAGAAGAAAGGCTACAGGGCTGGAGATAAAGGAGGAGTGGACTCAGGGGTTTGACAAGAGCAGCTTCAAGGTGCAGGGTCTAAGATTTTAATAGGTGAGGCTGTATTTTATCTGAGTCCCCTCTAATGTCTTTGAAAGAAGTGACTAAAGAATAGAAATCTTTCTTAGTTAATTTTGACTATATGCTTAATTAATTTGAAGTGTGCTTCTTCAATAAGACAGTTTATCTCTTAGATAGCTCTGCCTGTACCTGCCTAGAAAAAGAGAAATAGCCAGTACTAAACTCACACACATATACACCAGGCTACTGCATACACAATGTGAATTCATCTGTGAAGGGCTGAAGAATGAAGGACAGAGAAGTTAAAGGACTTCCTGGGATAAGCAGAGCTGTTGAATCTGTTTATTACAGAAGACAGTGGGTCAAAGATTACTTCCAAGGTTAGGAGCATGTACAGCTAGAAGGAGGATGGAATTGCTGATGGAGTTTTCCGAGTTTGAGTGATGGGGAGGAAGGAAATCTAGACTTCCCATGTTTCTTTTTGGAGGACATAGAAGGGATGCAATCTCTGGACAGTCTCAAGTAAGAATCAAAAGTAAGCTGACTGTAGAGCCATGGTTCTCATGGTGGACTGCTTACAAAGATGGCTGTAATAACTCCTCCTGTCCCTGTGTATGCTCCAATGCAATTTGAATTTACAACTGATTGCATCAAAGGTAGAGTCATTTCCCCGCTCCCTGAATCTGGGCTGGTCTTGTGATTTGCTCTGACCAATGGAATGAGGCAGAAGCAATGTTGCCTGACTTCTGAGACTAGGCCTTAAGAAGTCTTGCAGCTTCCTCTTTTGCTCTCTTAGACCACTGCCCTGAGAACTTTGTGTCCTGAAGAAGCCCAGGATGAAATACCATGTGGACAGAGAGGCCCACTCTTGTAGCTGAGCCCAGCCAAAGCCAATCAACCAACTGACATGAGTGGGCCCAGGCAAGAGCAGTTGAAGAATCACCCAGCCAACTTGCAAAATTGTGAGAAATAATAAATCTTTGTTGTTTTAAGCTACTAAGTGCTGGGGATGTTTGTTATGCAGCATAGATAACTGATAGAATTCTCAACTTGTATTAAAATTACTAGGGGAGCTTTTGAAAAACACAGATAACCAGGTTCCATCCTCAGAGATCCTGAATTAGTCTTAGACAGGGGCCAAGGCATCTGTGCGCTTAATTTTTCCAAAACTTCCCAAGTAATTCTAATGTGAACTCAAAGATATTAATCACAGGCAGGCAGATATTCTGTATCAGTGATAAAAGGTAGAAGGAGACAAATCAAAGTTCTTGAATTACATGCTGTAGCACAGCTGTGATCAGCTGGGC